GGTATGCCGTAGTGAGACCGGCTGCCACCACGTGCCTGCTTATGGTGATAGCCTCAGTCAAGGGCTCTATCGTAATGCAGAAAGAATCTAAGTTCACAGGAATGTACTTTAATTAGACACCTGTATTTAAAAGGTTGATTTCTCCTCCAGAATAATTTAGCCCTGTGGCACACTGTTTGTATATGAATGCATTGCTATACTGGTCTATACTCAGGGTTAAATAGACTTTTTGTTCTTTACCATTGGAGAGGCACATGGGTTTTCTTAAACAGCTTTATTAAAGTATGACAAAGAGTAGCACATTTCATGTGGGCAGTTGATGAGTGTGAATATATGTAAACATATGGAATGTCATAATTGCAATCACCCATAATCAAGTGTGTTTCTTTCCCTCTCTTTCCCTTTGTCTGTCCCCCTTCACCTTGTATATGTCTATTTTTTAAAGAACATTTAATATAAAGCCCATCTAGTGAGAGACATTTTTATTCACTTTTAAATTAACAACTGGACTGACTTGTGCTCTTTTATTGCCGTCAATGTGTTCGGGACAGAAATTGACTGCATTCTTTAGTTAATGGAAGGCTGGAAGCACAAATTCTACGTGTGACAAGCCACTAGGGTGGCTTCTGGAGACAGATGTGGGACAAACCCACTAGGATTAGAAAAATCACAGAACTAACAAGTGTTTAGAAGCTCTTTTTTAACTTTTAAAAAGTCCTTTGAACACTTTCAAAGTCTCATTCTGCTAGTGCTGTGCTAGTAGCTGGCCCTCCTGCATTTATTTCCCATATAGTCTTCAGGATCAAAATTTCTTCCCAGAGCTGTCATTTCTAAAGTTGGAGACACTTTTTGAAGGCAAAATAGAATTGCCTGAGGAAAGAAACTTTCAAAAGAGGTTGAGTGATTCTATTCTCGTTTTAGCTGAATGACCCTCCAAGCAGTATTTGTTTCATTTCTAGGGAAACTTTGGAAGTGTAGTGTTCTATCTGGCAACTTCGCCTTTAGTTCAGCCTGTAGGTTGCTCCTGTTTAATTGTGGAGTGTAGGCTTTTCAAATGCTAGGGTAACTGCAAGTAATAGGGTTCCAAACAAGCTCTCTGTGAGTCTTTGTCTCCATTTAAATTCTCTTTTCCCACCACAAACTAATGGTCTTCAGCCAGAATGGAGACTTTTGTGTGTTAATTGTTTGTGTTTTGTCTCTTTGTGGTGTGTGTTGGATTCAGACAGCGGATCCCTTGATTACAGTTTTTTCTCATATGGGGTTTAATTATTAGGTAATAATGTTATGTAACTTGACTTTGTAGTTTAATAATGTTTCTTCTCTTTGAATTTTATGAACTTTTAAAATGTACTGTTACATAAAATTCTATATCACTCTTTTCACTTTTGCATTTGTTAGTGGTTAGTTACTCATGAAATAAACTTGAGTAAAGTTTTATTTATAGTTTATCATGCATTGCCTGTATGAATTTAAAGGAAAAAATTTTATCATCCTTTGTTTGAAATTTTAAGCACAATAGGACTAATTACATTTTGAATAATTTTATTGTTAGATAGTAATAAATACACCTCCATGCTCTCCCCTCCAATTTTTTCTTTTAATTGAAAACAGATTCTTTTTTCATACAATATATTCTAATTAGTTACCTATCCATCTGTCTCCCAGTTCCTCCCCACATCCCCTTTTATTCAGACTCACTCTTTCTGTCTCTCATTAGAAAAGAACAGGCTTCTAAAAGATAACGACCAAGCTTGACAAAATAAATAAAACAAAAACCATCACATCAAAGTTGGACAAGGCAAACCAACAGAAGAAAAAGAGCCCCAAAGGAAAGCAAATGAATCAGAGACCCACTCATTCACACATTCAAGAGTCCCTTAAAAATACTAAACTGAAAGATATAATATATATGCAGAGGACCTACCTAGTACTGAGCCCTGTGCTTACTGTAAGCTTTGCTCAATTGATTTAAAGGGCCTTGTTTTCCTGGTGTCCTCCATCCTCTCTGGCCCTTACATTCTTCCTGCCTCCTCTTCCATGAGGTTCCCTGAGCTCTGAGGGGAGGGAGGAATTTGTTGAAGACAACCCAGTAGAGCTGTATGTTCTGAGGCTCTCCCTGTCTGGCTGTTGGTCTCTGTATTAGTTTCTGTCTGCTGCAGGAGAAAACTTCTGTCATGGCTGAATAATACCTGAATATAGCAGATTATCACTATGAGTCATTTTATCAGTACTTTAAAACAGACTAGTAATATTTTGTTTTACCCTAGGTCTGGCTTATCTAGTCTCTGGTTTTCGATCACTCAAGCAGTATTAGGCACAGGTTCCATCTCCTAGAATGGATCTTAAGTCAAATCAGGCATTGATGTTCATTTCCACAAGATTTGTAGCAGCATTGCCCTAGCATGTATTTTACACCCAGGACAGATCAAGGTTTTGTGGCTGCGTTAGTGTTTGGATTTCTCTTTTGCTAGCCTGCAGAATATCTTTCTGTGTCATAGACACCAGAGTATTGGAGTTGTATGTAGGCAACAGCTGGATCCTCTCCATCTTCAATGAGTGTTGTGTTCAGCAATGGACCTTTCTATCTGTTTGTGGTGAACAACCTATATTCTTTGCAACGGGTTGGATTTTTTGAAGTTTTCCATGGGACCCATTAAACTTGTATTATTTGAAAGTTGTAAGCCTTTGAGAGCTTTCTTCCTGATGAGAACCCTCCTAAATCTTTCTAAATAAATGCTGCAGATTATTAAAATAAAAAAAGAGGCAGGACTCTAGGGTGCATGTGCTTATATTTACATTTGATAATGACCTTAAATGTAGAAAACAGTGATTGCCTGTGATGATCAAAAGCAGAGATAGAGTGCCTTACTTGAAATCATTGGATCGTTTCCTGCCCTGATGCCTTAGACACTTGCCTCTTTCTTTCTCTCTTTCTCTCTGTCTCTGTCTCTGTCTCTCTCTCTCTCTCTCTCTCTCTCTCTCTCTCTCTCTCTCACACACACACACACACACACACACACACACACACACACACACACACACTGCCTCAGGGCCCTTTCTCTAGATGTATGTATGCCTCTCTTCTTCCAGTCAGTCACACACTGCTCAGCTACCTTAGAAACAGTACCACTGATTTCAACTATTTATTATTCTATGAACTAGCTGCATTTGTGCTGGATTCTTTTCTTGTTTTTCTCTACCCTTATTGTCATCTTTAATTCTCAGTTCTAAGAGTCAGGGATCTTTTTTCAATATTGTATCCTCGGGTCCTGGACTGAAATACAGAAAAGGGTCCTAACAAGTATTTTTAGAAAGATAAATGAATGGCTGGATCAATAAGAAACTAGCTAGTAATTTAGACCTGTATTCTCTTGTAGGGGAACAGGTTGGAAATGACAAACAGATGAGGTGCTACTTTGAATATTGTTGCAACGGTTACATTTTAATAATTTTATGTTTTAGACATTTAGTAAGTGAATCTAGAGGTAGTTAAGAGCTACATATTTTTTTTAATTTATTTATTTATTAAAGATTTCTGTCTCTTCCCAGCCACCACCTCCCATTTCCCTCCCCCTCCCCTAATTAAGTCCCCCCCCCCTCAGTCCGAAAAGCAATCACTACTGGGAACTCACCAAGACCAGCTGGCCTGGGTCTGGAAAAGCCTGGGATAAAACCGGACTCTCTGAACATAACGGACAATGAGGACTACTGAGAACTCAAGAACAATGGCACTGGGTTTCTGATCCTACTGCACGTACTGGCTTTGTGGGAGCCTAGGCAGTTTGGATGCTCAACTTACTAGACCTGGATGGAGGTGGGGGGTTCCTTGAACTTCCCACAGGACGGGGAACCCTGAGAGCTACATATTTTTACAACCCAAGAAAAATATTCAGCTGAAAACTCTTGGTATTGATTTATTAATTTCTGTAATTGACATCTTTTCTTCCACAGATTTTCTTCTAAGAAGGCCACAAACTGTCCAGCTCTCAGAAGGATTAGGGTGCCCTCTGTGACTCAGTAACCAGTGTAGATCCTGTCTTTGGTAATCAGCAGCTACATCTGGCTACTGGGTCTCTGGTGGCATCATCTAGCGTCAGTTATGATACCCAGAACAAGGTTAATGAAATGATAGCTTTATCTGGAACAACACAGTTTTCAGAGTCGAATCTTCCATCATTCATTGTATTTCAAGAGTTTTATGACTGGTGAGGCCTCTGTGTGTTTTCCTCCTTATCCTCCATGAAGATACACTTTTCTATTCAGCTATCTGTGTATCATATACCTAACATTATATCCTTCTAACTCCCTGCCTGTACTTCCATATATCTCTTTACCTTTAAAGGGCATTTTAAAGATTACATAATGAATGACAGCCAATAGCATTATTTGAAGAAATTTCACCTACAAGTAAATCACAGTAAATTTTACTTCTGTTTTATTTTATTTGTGGTAAATAAGACAGATATCAATGTTAACTTCTTGGTTAAAACAGTCATTTACATTGAAATAATCTGAATGATTTGCAGGTTGAACATCCAGGTCTGGGGCATGAACCTGGCATACAATGTAGATTTCTGTGTTTATAAGGGAACAGCTACATTGTCTGCTGGGTTTCAGGCTACCTGGAAGCGATTCTCCATTAACCACTTTATCAACATTTTATCTTTAATATTTCTGAGTCACTTTTCTAGGAGCCATAAATGAGTGTGTGACTTATCTCATTGAAAAGAATAGACGAAAGGACCTCCATGAAGCTGATCACCTTAGCAATTAATGGTTTCATTGTGATTTCATCCAAAATAGTCTCATCAACCTTGTCAGCTAAAGAGATCAAAGATAAGATGTGATGTCATCCGTCCTCTTCTTGCCTCAACTTTTAAAGACTGTGTTATCATAAATGTTTTCTATTTGTTATTGCTGACAGAGAGTAAAACACCTTAGCACACTGCTCCCCTACCTCACCATTTCTCCTCATTTTGGTTTCTTTTCTATCTACACAGGAGCCTGGTTTACTTCTGTTCTTTCTACATCATTGCCCCAAAACTTTTATGAAGGACTTTCCAGTCTCAATAGAATTTGAACATTTTATGTGTTTCAACATCTCACTCCGTCATTAGTTCCCTGAAAGCTCGCCCTAGAATTTACTGGACTGTCCACTATTGCCGATCATCCCTTCTGAAAGCAGAAGAACAACTGTGTGTTGGAATGAGAAGGAGCTTAGTTGAGGAGCTCAAGCATGACTTTCCATGGTGAAAGGAAGAAGAGAATGGAACTTGCTTCGAAGAAAAACAAGTTTAATAATATGGGTTATTTGCCTACTCTTTTGGTAAATAAATTTACAGTTATGAATATTTTTAGAAAGTAGAAAGTGAAGCTAAAATTCTCACTAGAGGAATAGTTTTAAAGGGGTATTAATTAATTGTTATATAAACTGGAGATTTTTAGTAAGAAATTATGTATTTTACATTAATATGCTTAAAAATGGAAAAGGAGTAAAAGTGATTTAAAGATAAATGTCTATGTAATCAACTAATTGCCAATGATGGTAATATAATGTGTTTTTGTCATCTTGTGCTGAATTCAATAAAAATGAAGCTAATGACTTAGAATTTAAAAGATTGTGTTGTCTGTTCTTTGGGAGGTTATATTTCCTACATCCCAGTTCATTCCATCCCCTATTGTGTTCCCAAGCCACTGGTCTTCTAAGAGGGGGGGGGGCTTTATTCAGGTATTTGACAACATTTTAAGTGTGATAAATGGCTTCTACAGCATGAATTTATTTAATTAAAATCATAATTATAAAACTATTTTGATAGTGTTCAAAAGGAGAGTGTTTTGAAATTCTGTGAAGTTGTTTGCCTATCCCTAAACAAAGTGTTGCCTGCGGAGACAGATGTGAAGAGTTTCATACCCTAGGTTTCATTTCCTTCTCCCAAGTGACAGAGCAATTCTGAATGGATGCTCTATGTATGGCCAAATATGGTGATATAACAGGAAATACATATTCAGACGTATGTACAGTGTCTGAAGCCCTTGTATTCTACTGAATAATAGGGATGCTAGGAGCATCTTTTATTGTAGTTGGTCTATCCTCACACAAGACTACCCAAGGTCACTAGAGTCTAGAGCACTGAGTCAGTCTTTTATATGCTAATTGATAAGTGGTGGTGGAGTGGGGTGACCTGGTTGGCTTAGAAAGTGGCTAGATGCCAAACCATCATGATATAGTGGGTTGGAGCTTCATGCCCCCTGTTCTTCTGACTGAATAAGTGACGCTTTTTTTCTATATTTGTAGTATTAGGTGTGGATCCTAACCATGCCTCCAAAGTACATTGAGCCATTACTACAATCTCCTCCCAGCCCAGTTATCACTTTCTTAGTCCATTCATGTGGCTATAACAAAACACCTAAGACTTGACAATTTATTTTTTAACAACTCCAGGGAATAAGTCCAAGACATCAACATTTGTTGTCTGATAGCCACCTTCTTGGTGTTTATTCATGTGGTAAAAATACAAAAGAGAGTTGAACACAATTTTCACATAAAGAAAACCATAATGTCCATAAGCATGGAGTGCTTGTGACATAGTCAACCTTCTGAATACCCTACTTACCTACCTACCTACCTCAGTATTTCACACTGAGTCTCAACAGGAATTTTTAAAAGGGACATATTTTGACCATGGTACTCTTTTAACTCCATCTCCTGTTCATGTCCTTTTCACTTGTTAACACACTTATTTTACCCTAGTATCCCCTGAAATCTTAAAGTCTTACTACTTTTACACTTCTGATCTCAAGTTTCAACACGAATTGGGGATGGGGGGTGACATTCATTATTGCCTGATTAATGAATTTAATGGAACACCCTCCAACTCTGAAGCTCAAAAAGCCTCTGGTGGATGTGCTACTGAGCACGTGACCTTGGGAAGGAATGGTCTACAATATGATGCTTCTCCAAGGAGAAGGTAGCAAAGTAGAGTTAAATGTAGACACTCAGCCGCTGTCATGAAAGTCCAAGACACTTGGCACATTTATCAGAATGGTATGAGTAAACACAGGGTTAAAGGGTGCAAATGATCAGAGACTCACTTTTTCACCAACTTGCCCCCCTTTGTCTCTGTGAGACCCCTGGAAAAAATAGACCAAATGTTTGGTGGCTTTGTCTAGAAGTGAGAGGCACAACTGTAGAGAGATACACACGTGTATACGTAAAATATATTGCAAAATATAAACACTAAAAAATGCTAGTGAAAACTTAAAATGGTACAACTGCAAAAATGGTGATTCTTAACAAAAACCAGTTGCCGCTCCTAAGTATATTGAAAGCAAAGTCAAATACTAGTATGCATATTAACAATGATGTTGACATTTACAATATAGCCAAGTGATAGAAATAACCCCAATGCCCATCAACTGAAATAAACTTTAGCCTTAAAAGAAAGTATAAACTGGGTCTGGTAGGAGATGAAGATAAGAGGATCAGGAGATGAAGGTCAGACTGGCGACATGAGTCCCCCATCTTAGAAAACAAAAAGAACAGTAGAAATTTAGACTGCAATGGGGGTGAACTTTAAAATCATGCTCACTGAGGAAAACGAGTTACAGAAAGCCATATACTGTCCAATTCTGTTGATACACAATTGCCACAGTAAGCAATTCTCTAGACATACAGGTTTTCAGGAGCTTGGATAGAAGGGAGTGAAGGATGACTGCTCTCTTGGATTGATGAAATTGTCCAGGAACAGTTGGAAGTTAATGTTTTGCTGATGGTTGGAAAGCTTTGTGAGTACCAGAACCTGCACCTTTTATCTTGGGTTCTTTTCTTTTGATATGGGCTTGTCATGTGTCTCTGGCTGGTCTGGAACTTGTGGCAGACTTCCTGCCTCAGACTCCTAGTGCTGGGAAGTTGGAGACTTGGAGTTGGTAAAATTCCTAGTTTGTTTATACCAGAAATTTTAGTGTGATGGTTTCCATGTGCTCTGAATTCTCCAGATGTCTGTATCATGTGTACATGACAGAAAGCAAAATTAACATGAGGGTGCCATACATGCCTCCTTCAGATTTCTATACTCACCTGACTTGTCCTGTTTCTACTTTAGCATCTCATCTGCAGTTCACCTCTTAGCTACCAGATCTTTAGTCCTGAACGTGAAACAGATTCACAATCCTTTCATTGTCTGTAATGACTGGTATTTTGGAAGAATAGAGAACAGTTATTTCATTGACTACCCCTCATTTTGCCCAGAAGATTCCTGTTTAACTTTAAGTTACACATTTGGCAGTACCACAGAAGCTATGTCCTTAAGTGCCTGGTATCTACAAGCACATTTATATGAATGTGTCCCACCAGGAGTAGTAACCTTGACTGTTTGCTGAAGATGTCCATCTGATACTGCCTTCATCCCTCATACATTCCCCCATTCTGCTTCCCTTTTGTGTAGTCCTAGGAGTTCAGCTAAATCCTCATATGTTAGGCAAATAATCTGTTTGTAGTTATATCCGAAGCCCCTTACTATTATTATTTTGCAGTACTGGGGAATAGAACTTAGAGTCTTATATTCTAGTACATGTGAAATAATTGCACTATAACCACTACAACCAGCACCCAAAATTTTCCTTTTATTTACCATTCTGTATTTTTTAAATATTTACTTATTTATTTATTTATTATGTATACAATATTCTGTCTACATGTGTGCCTGCAGGCCAGAAGAGGGCACCAGACCTCACTACAGATGGTTGTGAGCCACCATGTGGGTTGCTGGGAATTGAACTCAGGACCTTTGGAAGAGCAGGCAATGCTCTTAATCACTGAGCCATCTCTCCAGCCCCCCATTCTGTATTTTTATTTTCCTTGCTTTTTAAAATGTACACCATGCAGTCAGTTTCTGTGTATTTTTGATAAATGTACCCTATTTTGTCCAGATAATGTTTAATTTACATGAGTTGTACAGTGTTAGATAGTTCTCATTTTATTTCTTTTTACAAATTAAGCACTGTTTTTAATGTTTATTCATGTTGCTTCAAATTCTGGGTTGGACTTTATGGGGTGCCTGTTTCCAGTGATGGAGCCTATGCCTCATTTCTTTTATCACCAGCAGCATTATAGTGAACATTTAAATATATGTCCATTTATTGTTCTGTGTAGGAAATGGTTAATAGGTAACATAATGCAGAATGAAGTTGTTGGGTCACCAGATTTTACTGCCCCTCCATGGCACTTCCTAGTATAGATTGTCTGTGTTCCAAACATCAGTGAACCTTCCAGTGATTGATACATAATGATATGATTTAAAACTCAACCATTATGGGCACTCCTAGGTTACTGTCACCTTAATTCGAAGACTAGCAGTCACTAAGACTGTTAGTGAAGTTTCTGTAAGTAGACTTTTATAATTTTTTGTTTGACTTATTTTGCTGGAAATTGGCTGAACTGGGCATAGTGGTGAAGGTCTATCATTTTAGAAACTTGAGAAGGTTAGGCAGGAAGATTTCAAGTTGAAGCCAGTCTAGGAAACTTAGTAAGACCCTGTCTCAAAAATGAAAGTAATGGCTAGTGATTTGGCTCAGTTGAGAGAGTACTTATCTAGCATGCAGAAAGCCCTGGGTTGTATCCCTAGAAATGCATAAAACTAGGCATGGCAGCCAACTCTTGTAATCTCAGCACTAAGGTTATTGAGACAGGCAGATCAGAACTTGAAGGTCTGATGTTATGCAGGCTGCTGAGGTAGAAGAATGAGTAAATATTACTCAACTGTGAAACTTGAAAGCTGCAATAGCAACAGACAAGATGTAGATTCTAGTACAATAGTGTCATGACTGTTATGGGGGGATCACAAACTGCCATTTTTTTGTATTTGAGGCCTATTCCCAAGTCCTGCCCCCGCCCCAAGACCTGAATCTATAATCTTATTTAAGAACTCAAGGCTTGGGACGTCATTGTCCCTAGGTTGGAATATAATACTGTTGTTTCTGGCTAAAGTGCAGAAAATAAATGATGCTGGAGTGTTCAGCCTCAAATTAGACAACTGTAGCTCCTCAGCAATGCTCAGAGACATATCAGAAGAGGGGTTGGGAGAAAGTAAGAGCCAAAGGATTGAGGAAATGTCCAGCAAAAAGATGTCTTCTATTAAGGGCCTTGGGTGTCAGCCCCGGCACCCCCTCAAGGCCAGCTAAGATTTCCTATGGCAAGTGAAAACCTGGTTAATTGGATCTGAGGGTAAACAGAATAAATCAACTCATGTACATTACCTCTACATGTTCTTTATTCCTTTGGGAGAAGAAACAAAGAGAAGAAGAAAAGGAGGTGATCTTCACCAAGCTTTTAGTTTTTACAGTTATGGTTAAAAAAATTCCATAGGCAAAGACAATGATGATATGCATTTCAGAGTCAAAAAAGGGCGGGTAAAACCAGACAAAGCAGCACTCCAGGAACGGGGTGACACTACCCAGGAGGGGCCAGCATCCAAGGGGAAATACCTGACATTCCAAACCATTAGATAAAGTTACTAAAAGTCCCTGAAACCCAGATGCTGTCTTCCTATTTTTTTGAAATTCCTATACGATTTGTTGGCAAAGATAATTGTGAGGGATTGAGTTTATGTGG